GCTGCCAATAATCTCCCCTTTTCCTCAAGATGCAGCTGGGAAAATGTGAAGAAATATCTGGATCTGAAAGCAACCTGCCCAACTTTGTGCTACTGCTTGTGGTGCAAGCAGTGCTAGCAAACATCCCTTCATTCCCTAGAAAACACACCCAAGATTCAGCCATATGAATGCCATGATAATTGGTTTTATTAAAGGGAAGAAAGAAATAATTTCTGTGGTACTGTCTCTCTCTCTCTCTTTTTTTTTTCTTCCAGATACTGATGCTTGTTTCTTTGCAAGGGAATTTCTCAAGAGTCTTCCACTGCAGCAGGAACCAGTACCACCAGGAGCAATGAGACCAGGGTGATTCAAAAGCAATTCAATAGATGCAGAAATTATTACCAGATGCAGAAAGTGTTACCATCCCCTGCATGACAAAAAAAAAAGAGAGTCTTAGATTATCCACCAGTACATTTTCCATGGTGATGTTCTCTTTCGGGATCTTTCTGCTTGGGATGGGAAAGCCCCCTAAAGACCTGCTGTACCAGCAGAAAGAGCACCATAGAAGTGAGAAGGGACGATGCTGTCCCTCAAAGAAGCTGATCCAGAAAGAAGATAAAGGAGGACAACAATAAATGCCAAAGTGTTTCCTGTATTTCTACATACCTTCTGCAGCAAGAATAGCCATTACTGCATATTCCAATCCAATAATACGGCCGTCGACATATCCCTGGAACGCAGAATCCATTTTGCGATTTGCAAGTATTTACAGCGCTAGGAATGAAGTGCTGCCCTGCACAGTGCAAAAAGAAGGGTGATTTGATGTAAAAATAATCAAAAGTGATTGCAGTGAGGAATTTCATTCTCTCTTTTCTCTCCCTCTGTCCCTCACTCCTTACCTGCAACTCCTTGGAGCACCAGGAAGAGGGCAACCAGGAGCAGATACAGGATCCTCATAGCTGTGAGTGAGTTGTGGATTCCTTGTCTGTAATGAGCAGAGACCCCAAGACCAAAACATGCTGAATGGAGGGTCCCCCCCTTACTGGGAGATAAGGATCATCTTAAAACATGCCTTGACCGAAATTATACATGTTAAAATAAAATTAATCCCCTCCAATCCGGCAGGTCAGCAAACACAGCTCCTACCTGCAAATTTGGCATACAACCCACAGGTACAGACTGACTATACTCTCTGCAGTAGGAGATGGAAGGGGTTAATAAAAGACAGAATACCTGTTAGGCGTAATGAATACCTGTTAGGATTAAAGAAAGAATAAAGAGTGTATAAAAAGGGCAGGTTCTGTCCAGAACAAGAACACAGAGTTACCAGAGCAGGAGTTGCAGGATCGCCTTTGCTGTCTCTTCTCCAGCAGGTGCCCCAAGCCCAAACACTCCCCTTTATATAGCACTTTGGGAAGGACGCCAGAGCAGTCTAGGGCTGATGAAAAAACCTTTTCCGCTCAAATTTGTCCTGCACCTTAGTGCTCTGCAATAAGAAAGGAGGCTCTTCTTTGAGTCGACTTTCACCACAAATCTCCTGATATTTGTGCAATCCCTCTTGTACCATCCTAGGCTGTGCAAGAATACGTTAGACCACAAAGTTATGTAAAATACCTGGGATATGCAATGCCTGCTGCGTAGATCCTCCAGGCTCCTTATTGCATGTTCCATATGCAGCCTGTCTAATTTGCAGCCATAACGTGTCTGTTCATAACATTTTGTCCATTAAGTCTAATCTTTGGGATGACTTTTTCCATGACTATGCACACACTACATTCTATACACAATTACAATGTATATACATCTTTATTACAAAGTTTTATGATTTATCGCATTTGCAACTCTCTTGCTTCATCCCTGGATTATTCATTTTTTCCCTGTTTTGGTGTCCTTTCTGATATTGGTTTGTATTTAATCTTTCTCAGACCACCCAAACTTTTGTAGAATAACCATCACTGCTGCTGACCTCACACATATTTCCCACATTCTCTAAGAGAGAGAAGCAGGTTATTAAGAACAAATTTCTGGTCTAGTTTGAAACAGCAGTCAGAAGTCAGGCATTCTCTATATATGTGTGTGCATATTTGTATATATGTATTATACATGAATAAGTGTATACAGACATTCACAGGCTATGTATTTACTTCAAAGGTTGTCAAGATTTTGTGCCTAGTTTAGCCACAAATGTTTTTGCTCTCGCTCCTAGGACATAGATGTAGCTATTTCACAAGTGCTTTGGCATTGTGAAAAGAAAAAGAAAAAGAAAAAGAAAAAGAAAAAGAAAAAGAAAAAGAAAAAGAAAAAGAAAAAGAAAAAGAAAAAGAAAAAGAAAAAGAAAAAGAAAAAGAAAAAGAAAAAGAAAAAGAAAAAGAAAAAGAAAAAGAAAAAGAAAAAGAAAAAGAAAAAGAAAAAGAAAAAGAAAAAGAAAAAGAAAAAGAAAAAGAAAAAGAAAAAGAAAAAGAAAAAGAAAAAGAAAAAGAAAAAGAAAAAGAAAAAGAAAAAGAAAAAGAAAAAGAAAAAGAAAAAGAAAAAGAAAAAGAAAAAGAAAAAGAAAAAGAAAAAGAAAAAGAAAAAGAAAAAGAAAAAGAAAAAGAAAAAGAAAAAGAAAAAGAAAAAGAAAAAGAAAAAGAAAAAGAAAAAGAAAAAGAAAAAGAAAAAGAAAAAGAAAAAGAAAAAGAAAAA